CAGAACTTATATGCATGTATGCATGAACAATGGACATGGACAACAAAGCTGGGGACAGGGTGGGGAGGGAAGAGGAGGGGGGAATCAGTGGGGGAAGAAGGAGAAACATCTGTAACAAAAATTAATTAATTTAAAAAAGACAATATAAATGTAAATTTTGTTAGTAACTCTCTTGTTCTCCTATTGTATGTATAAGAAGACAGTAGCATAAAACAGTAATTATAAATCTATGTTGATGGGCATACAATGTAGAAAGATGTAATCTGTATGACAATTACAGCATAAAGAGGAAAGGGAATAAAGCTGTATAGGGCTATTCAAATTAGGTTGACATTAATGCAATCTAGATTGTTATAAAGTAACATGTTAATTGTAATCCCCAAGGAAACTACTATGAAAATAACTAAAAAAATATAAAAGACCCCTGGCCAGTTTGGCTCAGCAGTTAAAGTGTCAGCGCAAGGACTCTGAAGGGTTGCAGGTTTGATCCCCGGCCCTGGTCAGGGTTGTGCAGGAGGTAACCAATTGATGTGTCTCTCTTACATCAATGTTTCTCTCTCTCTCCCTCTCACTCCCCCATACTCTATCTAAAAATCAATAGAAAAATATCCTCAGGTGAGGATTAACAACAACAAAAAAGAAATATCTCAGGGAGGAGGGATTGGGAGGAGGATGTCAGTGGGGGGGAGGGGAGAAACACCTGTAACAAAATTAAATTAATAAAAATAATTTTAAAAAAAGAAATATCTCAAACCAATAACCTAAGCTAAAGTAAAAGAGGGGTGCCCTGGCTGGTTTGGCTCAGCAGTTAGAGCATTGGCCCTCGGACCAAAGAGTCTCGGGTTCAATTCCAGTCAAGGTCATGTACCTTGGTTGCGGTTCGGTTCCCAGCCCTGGTCGGGGTTGTGCAGGAGGCAACCAGTCAATGTGTCTCTTTCTCTCCCTCTCCCACTCTATCTGAAGATAAATGGGGAAAAAGTATCCTCGGGTGAGGATTTAAAGAAAAAGAGGGGCAAACAAATAAAAGGAAGGAAGTAATAGAGATTAGAGTGGAAATAAATGAAATAAAGAATGGAAAAATAATAGAAAAATATAATGATGCCTAAAGTTGGTTTTTTGAAAACTTCAACAAAATTGACAAAACTTCAGCTAGACTGAAAAAAATAAAAAGAGAGAATATTCAAGTTATTAAAATCAGGAATGAAAGAGGGGCACATTACCATCAGCCTTACAGAAATAAAAGGATTATAAAGAAATATTTCTGAGTAATCATATGCCAATAACTTAGATAACCTAGACAACATGGAAAAATTCCTAGATAGGTACAAACTACAGAAACTGACTCAAGAAGAAATACAAAATTTGCGCTGGCTGGTTTGTTTCAGCAGTTAGAACATCAGCTTAGGATCATGGGTTCAATTCCGGTCAAGGACACGTGCCTGGGTTGCAGGTTTCCCGGGCCCTGACCAGGGCTGTGTGGGAGGCAACCAATTGATGTGTCTCTCTCAACATCAACATTTCTCTCTCTCTCTACCTCCTTCTCTTCCTTCCATTCTCTATAAAAATAAATAAATGAATAATCAATGGAAAAAGAATGAAAAGAAATATAAAATCTGAATAGACCTATAACAAGTAAAGAGATTGAATCAATAATTTTTTTTTTTAATTCCCACAAAGAAAAATTCTAGGACTAATGAAAATCCTAAGGCTTCACTGGTGAATTCTGCCTAATATTTAAAGAATTACCACCAATTCTTCACAAACTTCCAAAAAATGGAAGAGAAGTAGCATTTCTCCATTCATTCTATGAGGCCAAAACAAAATAAAGACATCACAAGAAAACAAAACTATAGGCCATCATCTCTTATGAATATAGACACAAAAATCTACAAAATAATTGGAAACAAGATACAGCAACATAAAAAAAAATTATACACGATGACCAAGTGAGATTTATCTCTAAAATGCAAGATTGGTTTAACACATGAAAATCAAATCAAAGACAAAAATTAAACTGTCATCTCAACAGACAAACACTCTATCATGATAAAAACACTCAATCTAGGAATAGAAGAGAATGTCCTTAATGTGAAAAAAGGCATCTACAACTAATCCACAGCTAATAGTATAATTAATGGTGAAAAACTAAAATCTTTCCCCCTAAATCAGGAACAAAACAAAGAATATTCACTCCTGCCACTTCTATTCAAACTTAATTGAGGTTCTAGCCCTAGCTGGTGTGGCTCACTGGACAGAATGTTGGTCCATGCACTGAAGTGTTACAAGTTCAATTCCCAGTCAAGGGCATGTATCTGGGTTGCAGGTTTGATCCCCAGCACCCAGTTGGGGTGCGTTCGGGAGGCAAACAATCGATATGTCTCTCTCACAAATGATGTTTTTCTCTCTCTCCCTCTCTCTCTCTGTCTCTCTTTCCCCAGATGAAGATTAACAAAAAATTTTTAATTGAGGTTCTAGCTAGACCGATTAAGTAAGAACAGGAAATAAAAGACATCTAGATTGAAAAGGAAGAAGTAAAATTCTCTTTCTATGCACATGACATGATTTCATAATACAAAATCCTCAGGAATCCACAAGAAAACTATAAGAGTGCATAAAAAAGTACAGGATTGCAAGATACAAGATCAGTATACAAACATTAATTGTACACACTACAGTAAAAAATTGAAAATAAAATTAAGAAAATTTCATTTAGCCCTGGCCAGTTTGGCTTAGCGGTTAGAATATTGGCCTGCAGTCCAGAGAGATCCAGGTTCGGTTCCCGCTAGGGGCACGCACCTTGGTTGCAGTTTGTCACCGGCCCTGGTTGGGTCGTGTGGGTGGCAACCATTAGATGTGTCCCTTTCACGTAGATGTTTTTCTCTCTCCCTCCCTCCCTCCCACTCTATCTGAACAAAAAATAGAAAAATGTCCTTGGGTGAGGATAAAAAAAAAGAAAGAAAAAAAATTTCATTTACAATAACATCAAATAGGAAAAATTACTTATGAGTAAATTTAACAAAATAAGTGAAAGATTTGTACACTGAAAACTACAAAGCATAGTTTGAAGGAATTAGGGAGAACTAAATAAATAGAAAGACATCCCACACTCATGGATTAAAAGACTTAACATTATTAAGATGGCAGTACTCCTCCAATTGATATACAGATTCAGTGCAATCCCTATCAAAATCTTAATTGGCTCATATATAAATATATATAATTTATTATTATTATTATTATCCTCATGCGAGGACACTTGCATTCATCTTCAGATAAAGCGAGAGGGAGAGAGGGAAGAAAAGAGGGAAACATCGATGTGATACACCTCTAGTGGTCACCACCCACACGACCCCAACCAGGGCGGGGACAAACCACAACTGAGGTACGTGCACCTAGAGGGAATGAACTGGGACTCGCCCTCTGCAGGTAGAGGCTCTAACCGCTGAACCAAACTAGCCAGGGTTGTTTATTGGCTTCTTAATTGTCTCCCCCTCCCCACTAAAATAAAATTATACCAGAGCAGGAACCTGGTCTGTCAGGCTCTTCTCGGAATGCCTACAACAGTGCTTTGCACATATGTCCTGTTAAGTATTTGTTAAAAACTTTCTTAGCAATAAACATAGTGCTTTTTAATTCTCAGGCAGTTTCACATATATTATCTCATTTGATCATTACAATTCTTGAGTAAAATGGGATTGCTAACTCCATTGTAAAGAGACTCAGGGATGCATCTCTGCCAAAGGCTTAGGGCTAAATGAGATAGGATTGCTGCGCTGGGGGCTTGCTTTTTTCAATATATTCACTCCAGTTCTAGGGCTAAGGGTAGTTTAAACTGTCTTCCTTTAAGAAAGTGATGACTCTGGAGGACAGTGGAAACAACATGCACATGTTGTAAAAGCTGCCAGTTCCTGCCTTGGCGGTGTGGCTTCATGGTTGGAGGCTCTGCCCCCGCGCACACCGAAGGGTCACAGTTCTATTATAGGACAAGGAAATGTACCTGGGTTGCAGGTTCTATCCTGGCCTGGTGGGGATGTGAGTGGAAGGCAACCAATCGAAGTCTCCCCCACATGATGTTTCTCTTTCCTCCTCCCTCCCATCCACTCTCTCTAAAAGTCAATAGATTTTTATCCTCTAGTGAGGATTAACCAAAAACAAAACAAGAAAAGTTGCCAGTTTCCGCAATTGAATCCCCACCCACACAGCAGAGATTATGGAACAGTGATGCTGCTCTGCGTGCAAAGAAGAAAAAGCAACTACTTGACTGTTGGGAGCCCTGAATCCTCTGTGTACCTGCCTCAGGGTTTTTCTCCACTTTTTTCATTTTCACAGTTTTACTGAGGTATAATCTTGTCTCGCTGTTTTTTTTTTTGTTTGTTTGTTTTTTAATCCTCATTCGAGGATATATATATTTTTTATTTTATCCTCACCCGAGGACATTTTTTTCGTTTTTTTGTTCCGAGTGGGAGGAAGAGAGGAAGAGACAGAGAGAAACATAGACATGAAAGGGACACATAGAGTGGTTGCCACCGGCACGACCCAACCAGGGCCGGGGACAAACCGCAACCGAGGCACGTGCCCTCGGCTGAAATCGAACCCAGAACTCATTGGTCCGAGGACTGACGGCTGACGCTCTACCGCTGAGCCAAACCGGCCAGGGCTTGTCTCGTTTTTAAATTGCGTTCCTTTGAGATAATTTCATTTCCTAGAATATTTACTTCACTTTTTGGATCTCCACTACTACAGGCACCTGTAAGGATTTCTTCTTTTTCTTTTCCTTTCTTCCTATATTCCGCAACCGAACACGTGTGATCTGTGTGTCTCAAACCCGTTCGGCCTTGGTCCCTAGACCAGCCCACTGAAAGTCCGGCCCCTACATTTTCCCGGAGCCCCGCCCCTCGGCTCCTTTCCCACTCAGGCCCTACGGATCTCGCCCTTCCTCCATAACCCCCCCCAATATCTCGCGAGAGATGAGCGCGCCTGGCCGGACGAGAGGAAAGTATCTGCTCTGCTGAGGGGGGAAAGAAGGAGCTGGAGACAGATTGTGGGACCGAGCGCGGGCGGGCGGGAGGCGACGGAGCTACCAACGGGTGAGTCCTGTTAACTTTAACTAGTCCATGATGTGACGAGACTCCCCCCTTAAACCCTGACCAGTCCCAGTGTCCCAGGCCGGGGTCTTCCCTCCCTGGCTGTGTTTGACGGGGGCGCTGAGGCGGTGGCCGGGCCCTGTCTGAGGAAGAGGGTGGGGCATGGACTAACGCTGACCAATAAGAGAGAAGGAAGCTACGATTGGCGGCGATGAGCACTAATGGGAGATCGTCTTTATCTTGCGGGGTGCCACCCCCTCTTCTCTCCCTCCTCCAGCCTCCTTCCTTTGGGGGGGAAGGCGGGGCCAGAGGCCTGAAGTGTGGGGAGAACTTGGGGGTAAGTAGCCCCGGGGGGCACAGGGCGTGGCAAAAAGAAGGGAGTTGAATCCTGAGGGAGTGGAAGTGTAGTGTAGCCTAATGGAAGGATTATGGAATGGGGAGGAATGGGGAGGAAGGGGAAAGGTACTACACTGGTTTCTCAAAGAGTGTAGTTAGGGGCTTGGCATTGGAAGAAGCATGGGGTAATAGGATGTAGGGATGAGTAGGTGAAAACATGGCATTAAGTGTGGCTGGAAGATAGGTAGGGGTAAATCATTGGAAACGAGAGTCATGGCATTTCGATTGAATTATAAAAAAAATATCAGGGGCATGGTATCAGAAAAAAATATAGATTTGGAAATAATTAAGTGAATGAGTTTAGGAAGACTTAAATAGGGGTGGGCTTAGTAGCCAAAAGGCATCACTTTGAGAAGGGTATAGGGGAATTCAGAGGTGAAGGGACGTGTTTGAAAAGGAGATGGCTGATATACACAGGTTTTCAATCGAGGTATCAGAAGGAACTTGGGGTACTGGTTTAGGGCTTTTGGTGGGTATGGCACCCAGTCTGGTGACCAGCCTGCAAGAATGCTGGATAGGGGTTAAGAAGGAGATAAAAAGAACACTTGCATCACTCTATTCTGATTTCCTTTTTCCTTCTCTAATTCTTACCACATTTAATTTCTTCTTAACTCAGGGATAGGGGCCTGGGACAGAAGCAATCCAAGTTGGAGCCCCATAAGGAATTTATATGTTCTGAATTGCTTGTTATGTTCTCTGACTGGGGTGTTTACTACCCAGGGCACCTCCTACCCAGATTCCCGTGTTGCTACTTTGCTAACCTTAAAAGTTTGTTTTCTACCTAACAGGGCTGTTTTAGTTTCTCTGAGGGTTGTGTCATAAATGAAGGTTTATGGGAGGGTGCACAGTTTTCTCAGCAAGCCCACTTGATTCTTATGTTTAAAAACTTTGCAATAGTGTAATTCCTGTAGAGACATCAGTCTTTATAGGTTTTCTAAGCACAGAGAAATATACTAAACTGTTTTTTTTGTTAAATGTGTTACCTACTCATATTCTTTAAGAGTTGTTAAGTGGATGGTTGCAGTTAGTTTTAGCTTATGTTATATTTTGTAAATGGTGTAAATGGACACATATTTCAGGAAAGTGAAAATTTTCAGTTTCTTCCTTTGTGTCCAGATTCAGAAGCTAAATATATGTCATGATATCTTAGGGCAAGGGTTGGGGAAATTAAACACAATTTGTACTTAAACATGGAGGATGTAAGGTAAGTGGAGACTATTACAAAATGTAACATGTCTGTAAGAAAAGAAACTGAAGAAAAGTTTGGCAGCTATACTAAGTAGTCTTACCAGTTCTTAATTCTGTACAGAAAAATGACAAGCCTTTGCCCTTTGTTTGATAGTTGTGTATTATTTAATAATGAATTGAACTAATACAACCAATTAATTAATAATTTCTTTATTACATAGATTTATCTTTTACATTTCTTCTCTTCTCCTTTTACTTTTAAGAAGCAAAATAATGTCTGAAGTACTGTTAAAACTGTTACGTGAAAGGAAACCAGAATATGTTGCTTTGTATTAAGCTTTGGTTTTCAGTGACCATTTGAAGCTTTTTCTCCTGGCTAGGAAATCGTCTTACAGCACACTGAAACCAATTGATTACTGATCCTTTAGCATTACTTACTGAATTGGATTCCAGTAATTTACATTCAGAGCATTACTATTGGGGATCCAGACATTTTCACATTTTGCCTGGCAGCAGCACAAAAAAATATCCAATGAGAAAGCAAAGTCCCTTGTGTTAGTCTTCCGTCCTAGAATTTGTGATGACTTTGACTTGGGCACTGTTAAATGCAAGATTTGTTTTTCTCATTAGTGTTAGCAGAAATCTAGAGAGTGCTCAATTTTAAATTTGTGAATCAAAGGTTACATCCTATGATAGTTTCAGTGTTGTAATTTGTAAGCATTTTTGTTTATCATGGTTTTTAAATGTTAATGGATATCTTTACGCTATCTCCTTTGTTTTTTCCTCTCCTCACTCCCAACCCAAAATGAAAATTGTTTTTTTAACTAACTCTTAAGCTACTTACTACTTTGCCTCAAGTAAAGTCCTTGGCTCTGCCTGAACACAGCTGCTCTGAAGTTCTCACAAGTTATTGTTTTGTACATGTCAAGACTGAGTTTTTTCCTAGGCTGCAGTAGGAGGGGGGTCAGTGTTACAGCAGCCTCCTATCCACGTCTGATAAGGAGGAGCCTTCTCCTTGCGAGGAAGTTTTGGGTGGAGCAAGTAGCATTGCCATATAAATGTCTAATAAAGACAGCTCTCTTCTTGAGACTAGTTGACAGGCTGGAGTATAATTGTCCCTTATTCCTTGATAAACTAAAGTTAAGGTGTAGATTTTTTTTTTTTTTTTGAGAAAAACAAATGCATCATTCATTAGAAAAGAAAAAGCATTAATTTCTTTTGTTGGTTTCTCTGAAAATGGTTATTTTAGAGTTCATGAAAAGTTTTTCATCTCTTTAGAAATACATCAAACAATTTTTAAGTTTCTCATTTTTCAATCTTGCCTTCCTTCCCCTAACATGCTTCTTTTGGGATCAGGTATATTAATGAATTGTGGAAAGACATCATATTTGTCCCTGGCCGTTTTGGCTCAGTGGTTAGAACGTCAGCTTGCAGACCAATGAGTTGCAGGTTCAATTCCAGTCAAGGGCACCTACCTCAGTTGTGGTTCAGTCCCAGGCCCTGTTTGGGGTCTTCTGAGAGGCAACCAGTCGATGTGTCTCTGTCACATTGTCAATGTTTCTCTTTCTTTCTCTTTCTCTCTTCGTCCCTCCCTCCCTCCTACTCTATCTGAGAATACACGGAAAAATATCCTTGGGTGAGGATTAACAAAAAAAAAAAGAGAGAGAGAAAGTCATCATATTTGGAATCCCTGAGGGATAGTTTTTTAACTTCCAAATGCTGTAAGGAAAAGATCCCCACAGATACCCTGTTCCATTTTTGAACTCTACTTTTAGAACATTCTTTACATTGTGCTGAAGCTCTTTAGTTCTGCTATCTGAAGTTACAATAAATATACCTAATTCCTTGTCTACGTGGTAGACCTTCAAATATTTCATGACAGTTATGTCTTGTCAAGGCTTCAGTTACTGGGATAAATATCCCAGTGTCTTTCAATATGGGATGTGCAGGAGGCAGCTGATTGATGTTTCTCTCTCACCAATGTTTCTCTCTCTCTCTAAAAAATCAATAAAAACACTATTCTCTGCATGCCCCTTACTGGGGATCGATCCTGAAACCTAGGCCTGTGCCCTGACTGGGAGTCAACCTGGGACCTCTTAGTCCATGGGATAACGCCCAACCCAATGAGCGACACCAGTCGGGCATGATACCTATGTTTATTTTTTAATTTTATTTATTTTTTATTGTTGGCAGTATTACACATGTCCTGACACCTATGTTTTTGTTTTAGGTCACTGATAAAAATATATAAGGGTAAAGCAATGCTATAACATCAGCACACTATCATTAGGTTGGTAGTAATTCAGTAATCAACCTTTTGGGTAAAATTAATTTATGAATCCACCTACTGTTTCATCATCTAACCTATATTTCTTTTTTTTTTTTTCCTCACCCGAGGACATTTTTCCATTTTTTGTACAGATAGAGTGGGAGGGAGAGAGAGGAAGAGAGAGAAAGAGAGAGAAACATCGACGTGAAAGGGACACATCAAGTGGCTGCCACCTGCACAACCAACCAGGGCTGGGGACACACTGCAACCAAGGTACATGCCCTTAGCGGGAACCGAACCCGGGTCTCTCTAGACCGCAGGCCGACGCTCCAACCGCTGAGCCAAACCGGCCAGGGCCTAACCTATATTTCTTATTAAGTATTAAGAAGTTTCCGGTTTAAAAAAAGAAAAGAAAGAGAGAGGTGTCCTGTTATAATCTAAATATATTCTGTATCTGACATATACTTGAGCTTCTAGGCTAGAGACCCTGTTAAAAAAAAGAAAAAGAAGTTAGATATTAGCCCTGGCCGGTTTGGCTCAGCGGTTAGAGCGTCGGCCTGCGGTCCTGAGAGACCCGGGTTCGGTTCCCGCTAAGGGCACGTACCTCGGTTGCAGTTTGTCCCCGGCCCTGGTCGGTTGTGTGGGTGGCAGCCACTTGATGTGTCCCTTCACATCGATGTTTCTCTCTCTCTCTCTGTTCCTCTCTCTCCCTCCCACTCTACCTGAATAAAAAAAAAAAAAAAAAAAGAAGTTAGATATTAGTTACTATTTTGCCATCTTATGCTTATGTATATAGATCACTGCATTACTTGCCACTTCTTTAAAGCCATTTACTTAATAATTCATTTTATAATCTTCTTAGTAAACAATATTTCATCAGTCTGTAATTTCTGGACTCTACTTCTCCTACTTCCTATCCAGTTTTTTTCAAGTGTGATCTTTTCTCCCCATTTCCAATACTTCTGGTAGTGCTTCCTTTTTTAAAAAAAACTTTTATTTATGCCCTGGCCGGTTTGGCTCAGCGGTTAGAGCGTCGGCCTGCGGTCCGGAGAGACCCGGGTTCGGTTCCCGCTAAGGGCGCGTACCTCGGTTGCAGTTTGTCCCGGCCCTGGTTGGTTGTGCGGGTGGCAGCCACTCGATGTGTTCCTTT